AAATATAGTATAAGAATATGACATCAATCACAATTAGTATCACAATTTACTTGAGAAGAAAGAGAAACAGCTGACACTTATAGATTACATAATTTAGAGTACAAGTCTCAACAAGATACAAATACAAAATTGAAAATACTTAGGCAAAACACCATTATCCAAGAGTTGAAATTTAGTTTTCAAGATATAAGAAGGGGTGAATTGATATTTTTATTTCTGTAACATCAAACACTTCTGGTGGTCTAGTTAATAAGGTTTGTGCAGCCCACATTACAAAAGTGTCTATATTTGCATGAAGATAAAATGAATTTTGAGGAAATTTTGTACATAAATCACACAGGCAAAATATTTAGAACAAATCAAGTTTTTTAATGTGTAAAATGGATGAGCTCTCTTGTTTCTATTCACAACTGATTCAGACATTAAATTCAGTGTTTGAAATCTCCATATTCCTATTTACCAACCTATCAGGGCTAAGGTTAGGTTTATTTGATAGGTACAGATTAGGTAATATTGGAGTTGAAATAAAATATAAAATCACCTTGTCAGTGTAGTTAAGAAAAAAATACATTGTGGTAGAAAAAAATTGTTGATGATTAAATAAAAGTGCTGCTGCTGCTGCTGTATAGATTTCTTTACAGATATTCTCTGTGTCTCACATACACACAGAGGAAGATCTAAAAACAAAAGTGCCCAGATCATGTCGCTATATTTGGACAAAAGACTATGTAATAGAAGAAACAGCTACTTCAACAGGTGCAGAATTCATTTTGTTTTTAGTTTTGAACATAGTCCTAATAAGTGTTTGGTAAATTCTGCTACAGAAATAAGATTGATTTAGCAATTTAGTTTTTAAATGGATATAACCCCTTTGTAATTTTTTATTTGAATTTTAAATTAGTAAGATATTAAAATACCTGTTGTGAATTTTACAAGATAATATTATAGAATAAGCACCAGGAGTTCTATACTCTAGTGCTGCAGTAATTCAACCCCTGAATAAATAAAAACATCACATCAATCTACACCACAGTTTATTTAAAGATACAATACAGGCCAATTCACACACGTCACATATATATTACGATATCACCTTGAACAGTACTTTGTTTAAACATATCACAATAAATATTTAGTGAACAAGAAAGAAGTCAATAATGGCCAGCAAATAATGCCACTATACATTTCACAAAATTAAATACAGCATCAGTGTAAAATGGACAATGTTTCACCATACTAGTGTACTTAACTGTCCTGCTTTACTTTGAAAATAAAATCCAGTTGTTTCCTTTACTTTCAAAAGATGGAAATTTACATTCTCAATAAATATTAAAGCTGTGAGTATCATACCAGCTTTTGCTGAATTTAGACAGATTTGTTCTCTAGTCACTGGTGATAGGTGTAGAAAATGAGAAATATGGAGTTACTAACTTGAAACATAATGAATGTACTAAGAACAAACTGAAACACTTGGAGTGTCTGGGGAGGTATAATGTGTAGAGGTGGCCTGATTTTTTTTTACTGAATTTTAATAATAGTGGGCGTTTCCAAATTGATACTACTTCTTTATGAAATTTTTCTTAGTTTTGAATACCATTCTGCACTGCACATGTATTGGCATTATGTTCTTCTGAAATGTTTGGGTTTAAGAAAGGAACTCTGGAAATTATTATTTTATAACTTTAAAATCTTCAAATGTATGTGTATTTATTTTGAATAACTAGGTATATTTATTGAGAAATTATGAAAATTAGCTGATATCATCATGGTGATGTTCAAAAAACATTGAGTATCTGGGTAATATTAACTGTTGATATTTTATCATAATTTAGAATTAACAAATGTCACTGCATTTTATGGTGAATTTTATTTTGAAGATGATCTTTTTATCTTACTCTAATATATGTATAAGAATAAAGAAGTTGGTTTGTAGGTGAATATCAGTTGCTTAAGATAATGAAATCTACTAAAAGTGAGTCATTTTAAAAAATAAACTCTTAAAATATTATTTTAATAGCAAAAATATGCTCTAGGTAAATTCACAAAGTGCGTATTTTATCATTTTTCATCAACATACTTTACAATTTAGATGAAGAAATTGGTATTGTATGTCCATTTTATTTTTCTCAAAGAGCCTAAAAAAGGATGATTTTATAATATATAATAAAAAGAAAAAATGGTGCTTTCAAAGTCATGCAAAACTTAAAATTTAAAACTAAAAAAAATATTTAAATCCTATGCTGTATATGCTTTCATAATCTTTCAAAGGCTAGCATGAGCCAGCTTATTTTAAATATCAAGGAATTCTGGTCGGGGGAGTACATGGTGTTCTAGCCCCTACATTTTCACATCATCATTTCTATCTAGCTGTTTTACTATGGATGTTACAATTTTGGATACTTTAATGTAGTATGGAAAATATGCAACATTTGGATTTTATTTTTTTACAAATCAACAAAGGTATCAATTAGACATCTTTATTTCATTCATGGTATTTACCTTAATATTCATTATATCCTGGTTCCTGAAGGTCAAAATGTGGGGAGAATTTATGATTAGTGCTGGGGGGGGAAGTTAAGGGTCAAAGGTCAGGGAGACTTGAGACAGGAGAGAGTAAGGGTATGGTGGGAGTTGGAATGAATCTTGGGAATAGGTTGCGGGAAAGCATGATGATAAATAGGGTATAGTGAACATGGGGACAATGTCATTGTGGAATTAGATGGGGAGAGGAGGAAGGCATTGAAGATACTCAAAATAGTATAGGGGTGAGGAAAAAGCTCAAGTGTGGATGAGGTATAGAGGATATGGAGAAGTGGACTGGGGCTAAGAAAGGTAGAGGATGTGGTGGAGTTAGGATGCACTGAGGGACACTTACAGGGGATTAGGGTATCTGAGGACAGTATTAGGGTTATTGGTTCATTTTGTTAACTAATGAAATAGTGAGTTTCTAAATAGAAATAAAAAAATATTCTTTTCAAATAATAAAGCAGAATTTCATTTACTTTAAAGCTATAGTTTTATTCTCATTTTTGTTTTCTTAGAGTTCCTCTCATTTTCCATAAAATTGTCTTCCATATCAGTGAGGCTCTCTGCTCTTGAAATAATTACTCAAAAAGGCACATGTACTTTGTAACCCATGATATGTTAAAAGCACTTTGCTATATTTTGGATTTTTACTTCTAAAACATGTTGAAAACATAATGATTAGATGGAAATATAATATGTAATTAGTGAAGCTTTTCTGACAGCTATATGAATTTTGTTATGAAGTTTTCTCATGAAAAAACCCTATGTTCTTTACTCTCTCTTTTGTAGAATTATGATGCTATTGAGTGACTTAGAGAATTAATTTGGTATGGAGAACCCTAATACGATAGGGCATAATCTTTGAAAATAAATAATGACGTGCTACTGAACATTTGCCTTGCTCAGTTCAATAAATACTAACAATATTTAAAAGAATAAAACCAAGGCTATACAGAACTTCTATTACAGAATTGAGAATCATCTTCTTAGACCATCTTCACATTTGATTTTTACTTAGTTCCATTTAATTTCTTAAAAATTTACAGAGAAGCAACTGGCCACTATACATATATTTTTATATCTAAACTTTAAGCCACTAAACACAATATCCAAAATTATATGGATCATGAGGAATAACACTCACATAGCAGGGTTTTGTTGATGATGAAGTTGCTGTTTTCTGTCTTCAATTATATATTAGTGTTATATACAATTGAACCAAATTTTGTTTACTGTCTTTCTTTCTACTTGTTTTTGATATACATTAGTTCTTGGTAAGTTATTTCTCAGTTTCTATTGTACTTATTAGTTTTTTCACGCACAAGGTGGTTTCCTTTGAAAATGAGAATGCAATAGATCTGTTTCCTAAAGTCAATGTGACAAGAGAGCATATAGAGTAGGCTGTCTGTTATCAAGGTGATCTGTCAATTTGGTTTTTTTATTTTCAGTCAAGTAGTGGCAGTAACTCAAGTATGGTAGCCTGTATCTTTCTGTTCTTTCTGTGGTTTTGCCACACTATGTAAAAATCAGGTTACTCAAGTCTGAAATGGTATCCCATCTTCTGTGTCGGTAAGAAGTAGGAGAAAAAAAAATCTCACTACCTTTCCTATTTTCTGAGGTCAAAGCCCTGGTTCATAAAGCACATGCTGAACCATGGGGACTGAAGAGAGGGAGGCTAGCCAGCCTCTTTACCTCCTTCCTCAGAAGCCAAAGAAATCTCATAAAAAAGGCAAGAGTTTGCCTTCATACCAAAGAGTACCACCCCTTGCACTATGTGTTAAGGCACATAATAAGGGGTTAGGTGGTATTCTATTGTTTACATTGCCTTTGGCTTTGTAAAAACAACAGCAACCATTATTCAGGAAAGTTGAAAATTTAAATGTACAAATTGAATAGTGGCCCATGTGCCCTAAAACTCAGCACAAATTTTATATTATGTGTGAATACAAAGTAATGAGTTTACTTTCCCAAGTAATTTGTCAGTTAATCTCATAACCTTCTGGTAATATTTTATCTATCTTACAACATTTGTGAAATAAATGTTCCAGAAAGCCATATTTTATATATAAGTAGGGTTCAGTAATTTTAATACTGTGCTGATCATCTGGGCCAACAAAATGCTATTTTTATTTTTCTGGGAAGAGCATCATATTCATTCATCTCATAAAGGATTTCAAGAATTTTTATCTTCTATCCTGAATCTTCTTATGCAAATCAATAGAGTGGCTGGGAAAGGTAATAAATTAACTTCAAACCAAAAACATTGTTTTAGCATGCAATATTTTAGGCATCCTGTGGTGCTGTTATTATTGTCTTTATTATTTTTTTGTTGTTTTTGTTTTTTCTTTTTTTTTTTTTTTTTGTTTTGTTTTTTTTTGTTTTTCGAGACAGGGTTTCCCTGTATAGCTTTGCGCCTTTCCTGGAACTTACTCTGTAGACCAGGCTGGCCTCGAACTCACAGAGATCTGCCTGCCTCTGCCTCCCAAGTGCTGGGATTAAAGGCGTGTGCCACCACCGCCCGGCTATTGTCTTATATTATTAACATCACAACCACATATGATATTTACAGTTCTACAGTTATTTGTCTCCTTGTATTGTTAAGGCTTCCATAAATATTTACAATTTTGCTGTGTTTATGTCAAAAAACCCAAATAGACATATTTAAGTACTTTTAGTGAACTTTTCCCTAGATGTCTTTTTAAAGTATTTCAAAAGAAGTACTATATTCAAGAATCTTCTGTTAAATCTCCTGGATTCTAGCTTTCATTCAATAAATGTCTTGGACATCAAGATAGACTCATCAAAATAAATGCCAATACCTCTAAGATCATTTTCATTTGTCTATCAAAGTATCCAAGAGGACTTGAAATTACTAGGAAAAATTGTCATTTGAAAAGTACATGATATTTTGTTCAATGAAGAAGTCCACATCTACAACACACTAGATTATATCATATACAATTGATGACTGCATACAGGATAAACTAGCTAGCTACAGTCTGGTTTTATCCAATCTAGTAAATAATTATCACACATTTTTAAATTATGTGTATTGTGTATTCATAATTTAGATGTCCCATTTAGTATTTTGAGTTGTCAAGTTTGTACATGTCTGTTTTGATGTTAAGTGTCTTAGTTTGTTTCTTCAACGGACAGCATTGTAAAGTATCAGTTTTTATAACTGGTGTTCACCTATCTTTGAGAGCTCAGTGAGTGGAGAAGATACCATATGTCCGGAAGTTCTACCACTATTACCCATGTAAACGCCAAACTCACTGCCCCTGGGAACTCCAGCATTGCCTCTAAGAAATTGAGGATTATCCATGGGCACTCCAACATTAACCATGGGGATAGTATTGACATTATTCTTGGGAATTCTAACATTGCCTCTGGGACACGCATAATTATCCTCAGGAATTCCAATGTTTCCTCGAATTGCGGAATTCTCAAATCTTGGCCTGATGGAAAGATGTTCTCCAAAATGTGATGGAATTGCTCTTTGCTGAGCTCCCTCCATGTTGTATCTTCTCTTGATGTTTTCTAAAACATAAAGCCAGAAGTTTATAAGTGATTAACAGATTGGCTTAAGTTTTGAGATGAAGCTATGAATAAGAATGAGAGATGTATTTCCAATTTTTACCTCAAAATGTCATGGTGATCTTAACAAAATATGTAAGTTTTATGTAGCATTACACTTTTGTATGTAAAAGATGGACAAAGAAAAAAGTGAGTAATGGTTCTAAACCATAAGTTTAGGTTTATTGGAAAGTAAGGTAGAGAAAGAGGATAAACAGTGAGGGTATGATGGAGGAGCTACAGGCTGAAGGCCTTTTAGGAACAAAGGTATTTAGTATGAAATTTTATTTCTTTGATAGTATAAAACACTAATGCAATTAAGAATTTAGTGGGAACAGGAATTAGATAAAAGGTAACCATTAAAAACTGGAAGCACCCGGGTAGGTTTTTTTTTTTTTTGTGTGTGTGTGTGTGTGTGTGTGTGTGTGTGTGTGTGTGTGTATGTGTGTAAGCATGCAGGCACTTGTGTGCACAAGTGCACATGGTGGCCATACAACAACCTAGGAAGTTATTTACCAGGAGTTGCTCACTTTTTTATTTTTTTGAGGCAGAGTCTCTACCCAGCAAACTCCAGCTCTGGGATAACAAACACACACTACAATGTCTCTTCGTTTTTCAACCAGAGTTTTCAAAATCAAACTCAGTTCTCTTGCTTGTAAAGCAAGCTCTTTACTGATTCAGCAGTGTGGTGTCGCTAATCCTGTAGCACTCTTCAGAAGGGTTTTCAACTTGAGAATAAGGTTGAACCAACTCTACATTTCAAAGGATAATGTGATCTGAGCTAACCTTAGGTTAGACTTTAATTTCTTCCTTTGATAAATAACTTCTTAGAGTTCTAAATATTTTATAGAAAAAGAAATATTACAGAATGAGTCAAGTTGTGATTTCCAGGTAAACTCTGTGTTAGACTTCAAACTTTTCATCGGAAACATCTTCAGGAGTTTGGTGATGCTATTTTTTTTTTAAAAGAATATTTCTAGTTGGCATAATTTTCATGAAGTTGTAGAATTGGGGTTCTAACAGAAGTTAGACAGGAAGATTTCTAATACTATCCAGTATGCACAGGAGCATTTTCATATATGCTTATATAGGTGTAATGATGAAAGAAAAATGTTATTCTATAGTTAGTAGCAAATTTCAATCTAGGATTTAAATTGTTATAGATATAAGTTACGTTAATATTACTTTTAATCAATTATAGGTTAAAATATTAATGGTTTATTTGCAGATTCATGCTCTCTTGTCAGTAGCTCCTCACACACAAGAGGCGATAGAGGAATTCTTTGTTGGGTTAGTTAACAATGCCCATCATCACATCATTCCTTTTTTCTTACCTACTACTTAGTTGTTGGGTAATGAGTGATTTAGCAGACTTTTTTCTATTCTGTGGATTAAAACTGAATGAGTGAGGACTAGTAATTTTCTCATGCTTTTCTTCCTAAGTTCAAGTTCTTTTTGAAAAGTGAATTTTTATTCCTAACTTGCAGTCTTAAAAAGTCTGTATATTCTAGAACCCACCCCCGATGATTATTAATTGGTATGTGACTGGATTAACTCAACTTAGCATCAAGCTGCAATCACTGAATATGAATATAAGGCTTTAAGTTGTGGAAGAGAAACTAATTCTACCATAAATGTTTTATGTTATAGAAAGGGATAGATAATCTAGGTGGTGGGTTTGAAGATAAACTGACTGGTGACAGTCTACCTATATGAAAAATTATATATAACTTACAAGAGTAGTGACAGCAAGAAAAATCTTACCTTCTGTTAGTAAATCATGGTCATGTGGGAAGAAGTAAGTTTCTTCTGCATTTAATTTGAATTCCGGTGCATTTAAGTATTGGCCTTTGACTTCACTGTATCTTGGTAAGCTCCGACTGCGCTGCCGCTGGAGCTTAGGGCGCTCGGGCAACAAGGGGAAAGGGCCTTGCAAAGCTTGGAAATGTTGCTCTTCAGGGAGGATGGTTACTTGATTCTCTTCTTCTGATGCTAGTTTGCGGTAGCCCATATCTCTGTTTTCTTCCCTGGGACTAGTTTGGAGAATATGGAGCCCCTCACTGTTTAGTGGTGCCTCTAAGAGCTCTGCCCAGGAACGCCGAAAGATGGATCTTTCTCTAAAAGGATACATGCTTCTTGCTACTTCCATATCATCACTTCCTGGGGACTCTGCATTTTCTGGAGATTCCATCCATAAATTTCTTGGGGTTCCTGGGCGACTGTATTCTGAGGAGGATGGTGAAGATTCATTTATTAAAGACTCCAGGTGTACAAACCCAGTGAATTGCAAAGTTGGAATTTCTGTATCATCTAGATCCTCCTTTCCAGGCACACCGGCAACAAGTATTGCGGTGCCTTTTCCCCTTTCCTCTGGACTGGCAATTCCTGTAACATCTAAGCGTTCAAATTCTGGGAACCCTGGAGACTTAATTGGTACTTTCTCTATGCGAAGAAGCCCTGAAGTTTTTGGTTTTACAAGAGCAATGCTTTCTAACTCCTTAGTTAGTGGGGGGGTGGTAACCGTCACCACCTCATTCGTAAGCCCCAAGTCCCTCTGATGGATACCTTCACGGGTGAGTTGCTGGGCAGCCAAAGTTGTATTCTCTTCTTTTTGTTTTCTGTCCCTTTCCTCAATTTCCGCATTAATAGGACGGAAATAAATGAATTCATCAGAAATATTTTGAGTACGTCTGTATTGGAAGTTTGGATTCACAGAAACAATCTGAAAGAAAATTCAAGTTCAAAGATACAGTTCATTATGTCAACACTTTGAATAATATTCTTGTTTCTGACACATTGTATTTTTTATTGTAAGGACAGGATAATACTAACTTAGGCACTATAGACATAAGTTAATTACTTCAAATTGAGAAATATGAAGGATTCCCCCAAAGTGATCTATTTATTTCAGGAACAGATTATTTTATTCTAGTATTTCTCAAGTTCATTTCCTAATAACCTAATCAAAGACTCTTTGTTATCCTCCAAGAACATTCATTGTCTCTGGCCAATAGCTTGGAAAACAATTTATAATTCTTATAACTTTATAATATGTAGGACTCACTTAAAGGTTCCTAGAAATATACTTAAAATCTTTGTTTCTATTTTTTTCTATGTACGTCCATGTGCTTGCCATGTATGCATGTATGCATATGTGTGTGCAGGTACATTGTGTGTGTGTATGTATGAGTATAAGTACACCTGTGACATAGCAGTTGTGTGGACAGAGGACAACTTTCTATAACTCATTTCTCTCCTTCCATCTTGTTTCTAAGGCACAGTCTCTCGTTATTTTGGCTGCCTGGATGTGTGCCACAGGAGAGCTAGTGTTGCAGATCTAAGCTACCACATCTGTTATTTTTAAAATTTGAGTTCTAGGCATCAAACTCAGATAATTAGGGTTGTGTGGCAAGAGATTTTACTTGACGAATCATTTTTGCTGGCTTAGAAATCTTATCTTGAAGGGAACTGCCCCCTCAGGGTTGCTAGTTCTTAGAGACAATAAGTTATCTTTGAGAACACTTTTAAAATACAAACCAACCAAGCTACAGTACATACTTCCAACCACCTCAGTCTCCAGGCCTCTATTGCCCGGTCAATCATTTTAAGGACAGGCACTGGATAACTAGGGATAGCTCCTATATCCCAGAATCCATAGGAATTATTCAAGCTAGTCTGTTTGCCTTGCTGCATTATCACTGATTTTGGTGTTTCCAATGTGTCTCCTACCTCATGTCAAAGTATGTCACTTCTCTTGGGATGTGTGAGTATAGCAGACTATATTTTCAATGGCTGTCATTTACAGATATGTTTGCTGACCTCATATGAACATATATGAAAAATAAACATACTGAACATTCATATTTGCATATGATAATCACTCTTAAACTATGTACTTTGATCTTACACCCATCACCACTATGCGATTCTTGAAGATTTTCAAAAACCTCCAAAAGAAATCCCAGGACATTAGCAAAAATTCTTCCAAAAAATACAATGAAAAAGATCTGGCAGAAAATGTCAAAATCAACTTTAAAAACTCTAGGAATTAGCCAAAGGCTTGGAGTAATTTGTTCAATGTGGGTGGCTGAACTGCAATAGCGAGCTTGTTACATTTTCATTTTCCCTGATCCAACATCACTGTCTCCTTCCAGTTTTATAGATGCTTTATAAGCCAACATTTTAGAATCATGGTGGAAACCCAGGGCCTACCAACAACTGAAGGGAATGGAATAGAATTCAATCACCTCAACATACTCATTCTCATGGAGTTATCATTAACTAACTTGCCTGGCAACTACTTCACATTATATTCTAAAAAAAAAAAAACAAAAAAAAAAAAAACAAAAAAAACAAAAACTAAGGAAAAGAAAAACAAACACACAGACATGTACTTGCACACACCCAAGCAAGCTATGGTAAAATTTATCACACTCACTGACTATTGTTAACATTTGATTTGTAAGACTACTGGTCTTTATATTTTTCTCTAGCTTTCCCCATACAATATTTGTATAAATTAAATCAAAGAAAGAATGACATTAAAGTAACAGTATTATGCTGAAAAATTTGGGCTAGCATTTATCAGTTACATGCTGTGTTATCAACTTGAGTATGAGTTTCATTTTTTAAATCTTCTAACTCTGCGGCACTTACTGTTCTATTTTTAGTAGAGAAAAGTCCACGTATTTGATAATTTTCTTATTTTATTATTTTGGGAGTGATAATTTGAAGAGATCTTTGTGATTTAATTAGAACAGGCTTTCTCCAAGAATACTTCCATATGATGGTTCCAAAACAATATAAGTGGTTCCATAAAATTGTTACATATTAAACTATATATTGGGAGAAAAACTAAGTTAAACACAATTTTAGAAGACTTCCCTGGTTTACACTCTCATCAACAGTAAATAAGGATTTCTTTTTATGCACATATATCCTCACCAGCATTTGTGGTTATTTTTGTTTCTTGATGATAGCCACTCTAATTTGGGGAAGATACAATTTCAAAGTTCTTTTAATGTGGATTTCCATTATAGCCAAGGATATTGAATATTTTAAAATATGTATTGGCCATTTGTGTTTCTTATTTTGAAAACTGTCTATTCAGTTCACTGGCTGGATTTCTGATTGGCAGTTCATATATTCTATATACTAACTCCTTGTTTGAAGTATATCTGATGAAGACCTTCTCCCATTTCTATACCATGTCTCTCTACTCTGTTGATAATTTGTTTTACTGTGCAGAAGATTTTTAAATTTATGCAATCCTTTAAATTCTTGGGTTTACTTACTATGCTATTGGGATTCTGGTCAGAAAGTTGTTGCCTATAACTATGCCTCAAGTATTTTCCTTATGTTTTACATGAGCAGTTTCAGTGTTTCTGATTTTAAATTAGAATTTTGATGCACTTTGAATTTGTGGGTTTTTTTAAGGGTGGATCTAATTTAATTCTTCTGTAGCATGTGCCCAGTTTTGCTGGCACCATTTATTGAATGAGCTACCCTGTTTTTTCAGTAATGTTTTTGATACCTCTGTCACTAATTAGATGTACATAGCTGTGTGATTTACTTTGGTGTTTCCTATTCTGTTGCATTGGTCTACATAATCTGTCTTTGTGACATTACCATACTGTCTTTGTTACTCTAGTTCTGTAGTGTATTTTGAGGACAGGAAATGTTATAATTCTGGCTGTGCCTCTTCTGCTTAGAATTGCTTTGTCTCTGTATGGTGCTTTGTGTTTCCATATGAATTTTAAGATTACTTTCTTTTTTTTAGTTTTGTGAAAATATCACCAGAATTTTGATTGGGATTGCATTGAATCTATAGCTTACTTTTGATAGTATTACCCATTTTTTATAATATTAATTCTTTCAGATCAGGAATATGGAAAGTCTTTCTACCAAATAATGTCTTTCTCAAAAAAGTTTCAGCATCTTAAAATTTCCTTGTAGAGGTCTTTTATCTTATTCTTTAGTTCAATTTTTATTTTTTTAGTTTTATTTGAAGCTATTGTGAATGGGATGTTTTCCTTAATTTCATTCTCAATGTTTGTTATTGGCATGTATAAAATCTACTGATTTTTGCATGTTGACTTTGTGTCCTGTAACATTATTGATAGTGTTTATCAAATCTAAAAGGTTTTTTTTTTGGTAGAGTCCTTGGATCTTTCAACAGTATTATGTTTTCTGTAAATAGGGATAGTTTAACATCTTCTTTCCCACTATTATCCCCATTTATATCGTCTTATTTTAATTTCTGTAGCTAAGACTTTAAGCTCTATATTGAATCGAAATGGAGAGAGTGAGCACTTTTATCTCAATCTGGATTTTGGTTGAAATGCTCTCAAATTTTCATGTTATAGTATGAACATGTTATGTTAGCTATAGGTTTGTTATATACAGCTTTTATGCTGAAATATGTTTTATAAATTTCTAGTTTATTCAGGACTTTTATCATGAAGACATATTGAACTTTGTCAAATGGCTCTTCTCTATCAAGGTCATGTGATTTCTAACTTAAATTCATATGTTGTATTACATTTGTTGACTTGTGTATTTTGCATCCTTGGATGAAATTAACTTGCTAAAGATATATGATATCCTTAATTTGATTCTGAAATAAATTTTTATTTATTTATTTATTTATTTTTATTTTTATTTTTATTTTGCAATACAATTCAGTTCTACATATCAGCCACGGATTCCCTTGTTCTCCCCCCCTCCCGCTCCCCTCACATTTCCCCCACCCCACCCCCATTCCCATCTCCTCCAGGGCAAAGCCTTCCCCACAGACTGAGATCAACCTGGTAGACTCAGTCCAGGTAGGTCCAGTCCCCTCCTCCCAGGCTGAGCCAAGCGATCCTGCACAGGCCCCAGGTTTCAAACAGCCAACTCATGCAATGAGCACAGGACCCGGTCCCACTGCCTGGATGCCTCCCAAACAGATCAGGCCAATCAACTGTCTCACCCACTCAGAGGGCCTGATCCAGTTGGTGACCCCTCAGCCATTGGTTCATAGTTCATGTGTTTCCATTCGTTTGGCTATTTGTCCCTGTGCTTTATCCAACCTTGGTCTCAACAATTCTCACTCATATAAACCCTCCTCATTCTCGCTAATTGGACTCCCAGAGATCCACCCGGGGCCTAGTCATGGATATCTGCATCCAGATCCCTCAGTAGTTGGATGAGGTTTCTAGCACAACAATTAGGGTGTTTGGCCATCCCATCACCAGAGTAGGTGGTTCTGAAATAAATTTATCAGTAATTTTTTGAAAATTTCTACATTCATGTTAATCAGATTATGTTGTAACAACTCCCCTTTTATCTCTAATTTTATTAATTTGAGCTTTTATCTGTATCTTTGGGTTGGTTTGCTAATCTCGTTAATCTTTCCAAAGAACCAACTCTGCTTTTTGTCTGTATTAATTTCTGCCATGATCTTCATTATTTCTTGCCATCCTTTACATTTGGTTGACTTTTTATTTTTCTGGAGCCTTGAGTTGCATCACTATGTTATTTATTTGAGACCTCTCTTACTCTTTTTAAATGTGAGCAATTACAATTCTAAACTTTCTTCTTAGGACTGTCTTGGTGGTATGCCTGAGACTGTGTTAGGCTGTGCTCTCAGTTTCATTTGATTCAATATTTTTAAACTCCCCTTTTGATTTCCTCTGTAGTACATTGTTTGGTTTCCTAGTAGTCTGTATTTTCTGAGGTTAA